GAAGCGGGGTGGGGCCTTTCTAATACTGTCTGTCCTCCTGCCCCTAAACAGCTGCCCCAGCCCCCTCCCTCAGGGGTCCTCAGTGCCCAGTATGTTTGGGTCTGAGATCTTCCTGGAGCAGGATTCCTTCCCCTTGGATCCAGAAGGATCTATTCACTGTTACAACGGAACCTTCAGTTTCCAAGGAATGAATTCATCACCAGGGTCCTATGGAGGCAGGGGTCCAGCTTGGAGGTGTGCATCTGTGTGCCCAAGGGGACAGCAGGGCCCAAGGGCCCAAGGGCAGTTGAGCCTTGAGTTGAATTTGGGGAAAAGGGAATGTGAGATCAGGACACCTGGGTCTCTAGCTGTGGATCAAGAATGCATTCTCTTGGGGCAGCTAGGTGGTGCAGTGGATAGAGCACAAGCCCTGGAGTCAGGATAGACCCGAGTTCAAATCTGTCCTCAGACACTTGACCCTCGTTTACTAGCTGTGTGACCCTGGGCAAGTCACTTCATCCCACTGCCTAGCCAAAAATAAAAAAGATGTGCTCTCTGTCCCTGTCTCCATTTCTCTTCTTCCGTCTCCTTCTTTCTTTGACCCTTTTCTTGCCTCTTTCCCTGTCTCTTTCTCTTATTGTCTCTCTTTCCCTTTCTCTCTCTCCTTTTTCTCTCTCTCTTCAATTTTCCTTCTCTCTCCCTCTCCTTGCCTCTCTCTCTCTTTGACTCCCTATATTTCTCTGTCTGTCTCTATCTCTCTCTCTCTCCCACTCTCTGCGTGTCTCTGGTCTCCGTTTCTGTCTGTCTGTCTATCTTTCTGACTCCTCCCTCTCCCCTTATCTCTCTGTCTCTGTCTCTATCTGCTTGTCTCTGACTCTCTTTGTCTCCCATCTCTGTCTGTCTCTCTCTCTGACCAACCAGGTTCCACTGGCCATCTGATGCACCTATGAGCTGTGGCCCGCTGGAAGGGATGCAGGCTGTTGGGCCCACTGCTGTAACAGAGAATTGCTAGGCAGAACTCTTGAAGGTCAAAGGGCTCTCCCACTGTCTTCCACCTCCCAGATCTTCCTCCTTCCAAGCAGAGGTGGGGGCAGGGCTGCTTCTGGCCCTTGGGGAAATCTCCCTCTACCCTGATATACTCACTTCCTCAGGCCTCCTCCGGAGCCTCCACCTCCTGGGCCTATGGCCTCCACTTCTCCATGACCCTATTTTATTTTCCTGTGATCAAGACCTTAAACATGAATGTCTCTGGAATCTTCTGTGACCTGCTGAGCCCAGCAACTGAGTCCTGGCTCTGGAAGGTGGAGGTGGGGAGGGCAGAAGGTGGGATGTCAGTGCAGCTGGAGGATAACCTGGAGGATAAGCACCCCTTTATTGTACCTGTGCTGCTGCCAGAGGCCTAGGGGGAGGCAGTGGGAGGGAGAGGGGCCAAAGACACACCCAAATGCAGAGTATGTCTTGTCAGATGGTAGCTCTCTCCCCTCACCCCAGAAGAGCCCTCAGCTTTGCATACTGGATTCACCCGGCATCCCCCCTCTGTTCGTTCAGTGACATCATCCTCACACATCCCCGCCTCAGTGGTCCCTGTTCTAAGACCCTTCCCAGCTCTGTCATTCCCTGTTCTAAGGCCCCTCCCAGCTCTGGCATTCCCTGTTCTAAGGCCCCTCCCAGCCCTGTCATTCCCTGTTCTAAGGCCCCTCCCAGCCCTGACATTCCCTGTTCTAAGGCTCCTGCCAGCCCAGACATTTCCTCTTCTAAGGCTCCCCTCATTCCCCCGCCCAGACCTGACATTCCACATTCTTAGGGGTAGTATGGTACAATAGAAAGAGGGTCAGAGGGCCTGGGTTGAAATTCTGCACGTGTTACCTTAAACACTTCAACTTTTTGGGACTCAGTTTTCTCATCTGCAAATTTAGGGGGGGCCTGCAAGAGTCCTTCCAGCTCTACCTCTATGACCCCAGGGGTCCTCTCAGCTTCTGAGATTAGCGTTGACTGGCTGGCTTGAGGGTGGGGTCCTTTGGGGATCGGCTGCATTAGCACCTCCTCTGTATTCCTTCCACCACCTAGTGATGCCAGTCTGTATTGTGCACCCCTCCCTCACAGATGGATGAGATGAGAGGAAGCCCCAGCCTAGCCCTGGAGGAGCAGAGCCCTGGCCCCAGCTCTGGGGGGGGCCTCCAGCCCTCTGGAAGTCTGAGTGACCCAGGAAAGGCATCTCACTGTCAGCAACTGAAAAATGCGGTGGTCACAGCTTGCTGGCAGCTGGACCGCCTCTAGGGTCAGCGGGGCCAGCCCACCCCTCCTAATAGCCCCACTGTGACTCCTGCTTTTGTTTCTGGGCCAAGCAGAGGAAGAAGAATCTCTCTTTCAGGGGACAGACCCTGGAAACCTGGAGAACAGCTCCCTTGACATTCCCAGGCTTCTCCTCGGTGGGCATGGCATCCCACTTTCTTTTAAGGATCCTCCCGTGGGAACAACCTCAAGGCTCTTCACCACCCCCTGGAGAGGGTTTCTAGGGTATCCATCAACAGATATACCTCCCATGAAGGTCCCTTCCTTCTGCTGTCTTACCCAGTCTCTCTCTCTCCTCTGTCTGTCTGCTTCTCTGTCTGTATCTCTCCCTCTGTCTCTCATCTCTGGCTCTGTGTCTCTCTCCTCTTTGCATCTCCTCCCTCTGTCTCCTCTCTGTCTCTGTCTGCCTCTCTGTTTCTTCCTCTGTCTCTCCCTCTGATTCTGTGTGTGTATGTGTGTGTGTGTGTGTGTGTGTGTGTCCTTCCCTCTTGCCTTCTTTCTCCTCTCTCCCTCCCTCTCTCTGTCTCCTCTGTCTCTGCCTCTGAGTCTCTGTCTCTTTGTTTCTCAGCTGTGTGGCCCTAAAAAAACCTGTCATTTCTATTCACCCCAGACCATCAGCACTGCTCCCAACCTAGCCCCCTCGATTGAGAACAACCCCTGCAGAAGGTGGGATCCGCCTCTGAAGTTAGAATTTAGAAGCCCTAAACGCCCCTGCTTCCCCGTACAGCCACAGCGCTGAAGCCCTGAAAAGAAATTCTTTCGGCCAAAACCCTTGGCCTCCACCGACAAATGGCCCAGCTCAGAAGCAGATAGGTCTTTTCAGCGGGTGCCCTCCAAGGACCACGGCACCCTTCGATCTGCCCTGAAGCTAAGCCCCTTCTCTGCGCTGTCTTTCCCTTCCGGAATGGGGGCTCCCGGGGAGCACAGGCGGCTCTTTGTAGACCCTGCGAGGGGTGCTTGGGGTGGATAGAGAGCCGGCCTTGGGGTCCGCCTCTATCTAATACTACCTGCGTGACCCTGAACAGGTCACCCAACGTGGTGCAGAGAAGGTGCCCAACTGCCTGGGTAATAAGAGTGTTCTGTGTCTGAGAAAGCACGTGCTCGGTCCCTAGTCCTCTCCTGGAGCAGACGGGATGAGGGGCATAACAATTGTCTTCAAATATTTAATAAAAACATCAGTCTTCGAGGTAGGATAAGCTAGCCATCTAGAGATGGATGTGCAATATATATATATATATATATATATATATATATATATATATATATATTATACACATATTTGTGCATATACGTAGACATGTATATGTGCACATACAAGTATATATGCATAGGTATGCCACACAGCACAATTATCGACTTTTTGGTGATCAAGGAAGGAACATTTATTAAGCACCTACTGTGTGCTAAGCACTGGGGATACAGAGGGAGTCTCTGTCCCCAGGGAGCTTACAGTGCAGGGGGAGGAGACAGAGGCTCGGAAAGGCGGAATGGTTTGTCCAGAGAGGCTCAGCCCTTTGCCGCTGGGAGGATGAACTGAGGGGATCTCTTAGCTTGCAGATAGATACACCGCACTGTCTCACTCCACACAGTCATTTCCCAGCAGGGAATACCTCTGCCTCCTTGCCAGGTGGAGCTGGCCCTGGGTTCTGAGGGTGGGGGTGGGAGTCTTCCATCTACCCTAAGACCCCCCCCCCCAAGAACGGAATAATAGAAATAGAGAAATAGAAAAAGAGCCCAGTCCCTGCTCTAGCAGCGTGTCTGGCCAAGGGCAGCCTGGACAGCAGCAGAAAGCCTCCCCTCTGAGGACCCGCCTAGCCAAGCAGGCAGAGGCTGGCCCCCTGGTCACTGCTCCGTGGCCATGGTCAGTGCAAGTTGGCCCCCTCCCCTTCTGCAGCAGGGGCAGAGGGGGGCTGAGACTCTCTAGGAGCTTTGGCCCGGCTCGCCGTGGGAGATCCCACCGAGTGATGCCCAGCCTGACATCCTGCTGACCGGGGGGGGGGGGAGTCACGTGCCAGACCCCCCCCCCCCCCCCCCCCCCCGCCAAGCCCAGTCCTGCCTGCCCAAGAGGGCAGAAGGAGGGTAGGGGAGAAGAGACAGACTGATGAGGAGGGACTGTTCTCATTATCAGTTATCATGAGTCCTAATGAGTATTACAATCAATATAATTTATTACATCAAATTATCAGTAAATGCAATTAATGTATTCGCTAATGTGTCACCGGGTTGTGATCCTATACCACATCATGATGGGCATATGATTAGAGTATTCTATAAGAGGGGGCTAGGCGGCAGGGTGGTTAGAGCATGCGGTTTGGGGGGAGCAGAGAGACCCCAAGGTCAGGTCTTTGTTCAAGTTCGTCATTCTTCAGCCACTGACTGGCTGTGTGAGCCCCGCCCCTCCCCCTCGCCCCCCGCAGGTCACGTCTCTCTGTGCCTCCGTTTTCTCATTGTGAAATGGGACTAACGCTAGCCCCTGCCTGCCGGGCTTGTCTTGAGCGCAAAGAGATCGTTATTTGTAAAATCCTCACAATTTTGCTCCATAAAAGTTAGCTCCTCTCCACCCCTTCCCCCCCCGGGGGCGGGGCCAGCCTAGGTTCGAACTCGGCTGTCGACGCCTCATTGGCCGGCTCAGCTTCAGCCTTCCCCTCCCCCACTGACTCAACTCGACGGCCCCATTGTCTGAGAGCTGGAGAGAGGGAAGGTCGACTCGATGCCCCATTGGCCAGCGGCGGAGCTCGGAGGCGATTGGTGGAGGCTTCGGAAGGCGGGAAGGAGGCGAGGGAAGCGATGCCCCGCCCCCTGGCTCTGGGCTCCACGGCTCCCTCGAGCCCGCTCCCCCGGAGGCTGAGGTAAGTGGCCCGGCCACGCCCCGCGTGATTCCATCCCGCCCCTCCCCCATTCCTCTCCCACCCATGATTCCATGCCGTCACGAAATGCGACCCTCCCCCCCATTCCCCTTCGGCTTTCCCGGTGATTCCTGATTCCGCTCCTTCCCCTGTGACCCCCCCCCTTACTCCGGCCTGCCCCTTGGGGGGATTCCTGCCCCTCCCCCCGCTGACTGCGCCTCCCTCTGGGGGATCCCCCCCTACTTCTCTTCCCCTCCACTTTCCCACGATCCTCCCCAACCCCACCCGTGCCTTGACTTCTTTTGGGGTGACCCCTCCCTGATTCCAGGGGGGAAGCCATTTCTTCTCATTATTGTTATTCTGCCCCGTGTGCTGGTCTGTATTATAATCGCGTAATTTATTAAATCATCTTTAAATGTAACTAGTACAGGGAATGTGCCGCCATATTGTGACACAGTAACAGATCCTGGGAGCAGCCTCTCCCATAAGAGGGCCCCTCCCCCACTCGAGGCCAGGCTTTGCCCCGTGGGCCTGGCCCTCGGGTCAAAGCTGCTCTCCTGGCAGTCCGGGAGGCTTTCCTTGTCGGTAGCCATGGCCCACGCACACAAAGCCCTTTGGGGACCCTGGCCCATTCTTACAAGGGTTAAAGGTCTAAGGGGAGACTGCGGGCCTGGGGAGCTAGCACTCTGGTGGAGGGAGGAAACCGGGGAGCCTTGGGGAGGTCGGGGGGGGGGCAGAGGAGAGGGAGAGGTGCGCAGCCATCCGACAGGCCGGCTGGGCAGCTTTCGTTTCAGTTTTCTCCGGCAAGAATGGTTTCGGGATCGGGAGGGAGCCAGGAGGCATAGTCAGCAGGGTCGGGGCGGCGCGAAGGGCCGGCTCGCTGCCCTCAGTAAGTGTAAGCCCCTGGCCCGGTCCGCTGCCGGGGTCGGGTGGGAGCGTCTGGCCAAGGGGCTGCTGGGCCCTGGGGAGGCGCCCCCAAGGGCATGGCGCCCACGTCCCCGGCTTTCCACACCCCCCTTCTTATAACTCTAATTGTGAGCCCCTAGAATGGAAAGTGATGGTGACGGCAGCGGAGAGAACCGACATCCTTGCATGTCAGCTCCAGAGAATGCTCCTGCAGCCCACCTTCTCACAGTGTCTGTGAGGAAGGGGAGAAATGTGCTCTGAGTCACATTTGAACTCAGGTCTTCTTGAATCCAGGGCCGTGCGCTATCCACTGGGCCATCTAGCTGCCCCAAATATCACGTTTCTCTAACACCTAAGGTTTACAAAGCACTTTATTCACCAGACTCCTTAGAGACAGATAGTACAAATGTCATTATTCTGTTATTTTATATTTGATACTGCTGTTAGTACATTCTTACTTCAGTGTTTCAGTGGATCACATAGATATGAGTACTCCCTCCAGCAGTGCAGATCAAAATTCATCTGTTTCTTGGCCTGTGGGATTTTTTGCCCCTGTACAATGAGATAAGGTTGGAAAACCTGCATAGGCGCTACTTCTTGTTTGCATTGTGCTGCCCCACAGTCCTCTGCCAAGGAGATCCTAAGGCCCCGGAGGCCTTTCTCTGGGTCTTCTCATTCTCTAGATCCCAGGGCACTATTACGGCTGTCCATCTGGTATCTTTCTCCTGCTGCGTGACCAGCCCACCTTTCTCCGACCACACAATTCCACTGTTTAGGCCACTCAGGATTCTTACTCTTTGAGGGCTGTGGCCTTTCAGGATTCACAGACAGCACAACTGAGAGCATCCTGGTGTTAAAAAAAATGGCTTTTTGTGTCAGGGAACAGTTTCAGATCATTGAGCACTGTCCAGCATCTTCAGTGCCCACATTCTTCCTCCTGTCTGTGCCCAGCCCAGTTTATTATCCTTCTTCAGTGCCTGTCCAAGATAAACATACGGAGAGACTACCCAGTGGACTGCCCCTACAATTGCATGCCATGGTCTGTGCAGTAGAAATTCTTCATGCGCTTGTTTGTTTGATTTTTTTTCCTTTGTGGATGGTGAGGGCGATCTCTTTTGAGTATTCCTGGATCTGATTAATGCAATGGGGAGCCTAATGCAATCAGAAGGAGGTCATTGCCAATGACAGGAGCAGCTGCAGGGGCTCATCCTCTCCAAGAGATTCTTCTTCTATTTAGACTCCAAGCTGGGTAGTCTCCGAGATAGAGGCAAACACCCCTAGAGGGCGGAGGTCACACTCTTTTATGGATTAGTTGATATTTGATCACTAATGATTTGTTGAACAAAGTTATTCCTGTGGCTGTCTATTAAAGGACGGTATAAGACTTTAACATATGCATGGCAGTCTTACACTTGTTGGAAAAGAGCCTTTAAGGCAGTTTTGCACTACCAAGTCAAATGCCTTTTTATAATCAACAAACAGTAAACACAGAGAGACCTTGTATTATCTGTCTTTCAGTCAATTGTGTAGCTGTAAAGATGTGGTCTGCTATAGAAAATTGGCTGTGAAAGCCTGCCTTTTTCCTTGTCAGATTTTCATCAAGAATGCCCTCAATACATGAAGTTCATTCTCATAAAGATTTTATAGAGATGAGAAAGTAGGCATATGGGTCAGTAGTTGCTGATGCCTTCTCGTTCGACTTTTTTGGTAATAATACCATTTGAGATTTTTTTTCCAGTTGTTTGGTGTCTTCCCTTCTTTGAGAGCTCAAAAATCAATCCCTTCAGCGCTTACAAAATTGTGTTACCTTCAGCACAGATTTCTTCTCTGTGTGCTTAGTCCTGTCCAGTCTCTTCTTCTGCCTTCTTCTTCTGAGATACCCTTTCTGCTTCCTCACAGAGCTCTTATGGTAACAAAGCCCAGTGTAGTGAGACCACTGCTATCAGAGATGGGAATAGACCCCTAAAGGAATGCTGACACTTTCTCCATTTTGCTTCCATTTCTTATCCTCCCATTTTTATCTCTCAATGCTCTTGGGACGATCTGGCTTGGCTTTCTGAAGATTCATTTTCCCCTTCACTGCCTCTCACTGGTCTGGGGAGGTGAGACTGTGCATAATTTGCTTTTCCCCATGTCTGTGATGCGTTTTTTCCCCCATTCTTCTCCATGTTTTGCAGATGAGCTTGTTCCCTAAAGTTGGTGGCAAAGAGAACAAATGTTTAATTGCTGAGGTGTTTTCTGGGCTCTTTTGGTCTCCATGTTATGGTCACTGCTTTATTTCATTACATTTTTATAAGAAATGGTGATAATCAAAGTCACTAACTTTACCTTTATCCATTTCCTATTTTTCAGTCAAAGTAGTTCGTTAGAATAAGTTAGGCTGGGGCTATTGTAGTTGCAAACAGTGTCTTCTCATCTTAGCCTTTCTTTTAATTTGGTGTTGATTTTGACCTGTGCTTCAACTGATTGATGTCTGACTGCACCAAGACAGCTGGTTTTTAATGACTCCATGTAAATAAGCAGTCATTTGCTCTCCAGCTATAATTATTTTAGTTTTTTATGATGTTTTGTGGTCTCTGACCTGTCTCCCAACTGTCTCCTTAGAGAAAATATTCGTGATATTTGGCCATGATCTTTCTGAGTAGTCTGCAAACCTGTGGTTGCTTTTACACCTCAGCATGTTCTGGTGTGGGGTCTGCCCTCTCTCCTCATGCCCCCCTCACGTGAGGGTCTCCAGTATATACTTGAATTGGAGGACTTGGTCAGGATCGTGGTTTCTGTCATTTTGTCTCTACTTTTTCATTCTCTTTGATTTGTGTTAACACACATGCTACAGCCGTCTTCGGAAGGGTCTTTGGCTTGGGCTGGCCCTGAGTGAGATGACAGCTCACACGGTGTTTCTCTGTGCCTTTTGGTGCACAACAAAATTAGTTGCTGTGTCTGACTCACTGAGAGAACCTGTGAGCACCTTTCCATTTAGCCGCACCTTCCTCACATCTTCTGCTTTTGGCTGTCACGTGGATGTCACGTCATATGACTCGGTCTCTCTAGTAGCGTTGCATAGCACTGGGCAAAGATGTCACATTTAGAGCGGCAACAGTAAAATAAAGGTTTCAGGTCAGTCTGAAAATTGTGTGATCCTTCACCCCCTGCCCCTTTACCACCTTCCTCAGTTGTCCTTGAGGCCTCAAAGGGAGGGAGCCACAGAGGCCTGAGGGCCGTTTTATCCTTCTCTTTTCTTCATGGGCTCTCTGGGCTAGATAATTCCTTCCCTCAGGTGAGGAACATCTCATCTCTGCACTTAGCTCGGCTGGTCCACAGGCTCTCCTACTAGAGCTGTAGTCCTAGAATTAAAGGCTGCAAGGAATCTCTGCGATTGTCCAATCCAGCCTCCTTGTTTTACAGATGAAGGAACTTGAGGCCCAGAGATGTTAAATCAAGGTCACTGGGTCTCGTGAATATACATTCGGTGCCTTTTCTATCAGATTGTAAAACACAGCTCCCTCCCAAAGCTTGGGTTCTGTTGGCATAGTCTTCAAAAACCCAGGGGCTCATGGCATGGTGGCTGCATGTGAGCACATTTAGCCCCAGCTCTGTGCTACTACTGGGCCCTAACGAGGCAGCCAATTCAGAGAGGATTATAATAATTAGAAAACTAAATCATATCACAGCTAGCGGCAATCTAGAGGCAGTATGATATAGTGGATAGAAAAGTCAGCCACGGCACCACACACACACACACACACCACACACACACAATTGGCAGTGTGACTCTGGGCATGTCTCCTCAGTGCTGCAGGCAACTCACTAGGAAGACTAATAATAATAATAATGTCATCATTTATATAATACTTTACAAATATTATCTCATCTTCTCAACAACCCTAGGAGGGAGATGCTATTGCTATCCCCATTATACAGATAAGGAAACTGAGGCAGACAGAGGTTAAGTGACTTGCCCAGAGTCACAGAGCTAGTGTCTGAAATAATGGGTGCTGACCAGTATTGAGGTGGAGGTCTCTCTATGCTCCCGTCCAAAGGAACAACAAAAATACCCCGATCATTATACTGTAATAGTAACTATTACAAACGTATCAGTAACACAGTGTCTTGGATGGAAGGCCAGATTGGGAGTCAGGAACATACACAGTCACTAGGTGTGTAACAACAGATAAGTCACTTAGGGACCAGCTAAGACTACTCCCTCCCCCTCCCAGCCCCAGCCTATCAGGGCCTCAGGTAACTCGCTGAGACTATGAGTTGCCACCTGTATCAGTGAAGGGGGTTTCCATGCTGGGAGTTTCCTACATCAATGAAATTATAACTCTAGGCCCAAAAACATATTTGAAATTTTGTTATTTTATTATAATTATAATGAATTAATGTTATATATACCATATGTCATGCTGTTTCTATGTGGTTGTTATAATTATTCCATCCTGATATAATTTTATTCTACTATCTGGTTGATTATAAATACCTGGGGAGGGGGTACATAAGGAAACATGATTGAAGAAAAGGGAGAAGTATGAAAGGAGGTATATGCAGAGAGAGTATGAGTGTCTGAGGCAAAAAGGGGGTAGGCTGGATTGGGGCAGTGGCTGGAGACCCCACCGTCCACATGACCCCACCAGGGTTCGGTGAATGGCTGGGCCAGGATCCTTCTGGTTTGGCCTCTGTCCTCACTCCCTCATCTTCTCCCAGCTCCATGGAGGCAGATGGGGCACCTGGTGTCCAGAATTGCCCTTCAGACTCTACCACTGGAGATGGGGCCACACCCCCCGCCGGCCAGACCTTGAGCCGTGCCCCAACCTGTACCCGTTGCCGCAACCATGGCATCACTGCCGCTATCAAGGGCCACAAGCACCTGTGCCTCTTCCGGGACTGTGAATGTCATAAATGCATCCTCATCTTGTGAGTGTCCCAAGAGCGTTCTCATCCCTGGGGGGAGCTAATGCCCTAAGCGCTCCCTGTTTGCCTGCTGCCCCTATATATGGGTCCTAAGGGGGGGGCACAGCCTTCCCTGAGGGCATCAGCCTTTTGTCCCCTGCCATTAAATCACTTCAGCTTTTATCCCAAGTCTTAGGATCAACAGATTGTAGCAGTTAGAACTGGTTAGAACTGAGAGCGCATCTGTTCCCAACCCTCTCATCTTACAGATAGGGGAAACCAAGGCCCAAAGAGGATCGGTGACAATTACACATGTAGTAAGTAGCAGAACAGGAATTTGAACATGAGTCATGTGACTCCAAATCCCAGAATCCTACCGTAGCTGACCACACTAAAGAATGCCTTTCAACCCTAAGCCCTAAATGACCACTGACCTTTGACCCTTTCTCATTCAGGGAACGAAGGCGTGTCATGGCTGCCCAAGTGGCTCTTCGGAGACAGCAGGAAGCCCAGCTGAAAAATAGGGCGGCCCCCCTAAAGATTTCCAACCGTGGAAAGCGGGGGCCTGCCCCCCCACGGGCACCTGGTAAATGTTCTCCCTCTGGCTGAAGGAGGTATGCTGGGGCGAGAAGGAATCTGGGGGAGCTGGATACAGCGTGACAGTGGAGCAGAGTGACCCGGGAGGCCGGACACCTGGGCTCCCAGCCGTGGCTCTGTCACTGGCTAACTGGGACTTCAGAGTCCCTCCCCTCTCCAGTGTTCCCACTCACCCTGTGCCAAAATGGGGGTGATAAAGTTTGCCCCTTGACATGGCAGAAGTGCCTACTGCAGACTGGTTGTAAGAGATTATAATTATGGGGTAGGGGAGAGTGGGTATCTGAGAAGAGGGGTTCCTACAAACGTTTCCTGTCATTCCCAGCTGGGAAGGAGAATGTGAGCCCCCAGCCTGAGGGGGCCCTCCAAGGAGCTCCCCTGGCTCTGCTGATACCCCTTGAAAAGGTAAGGTGGGCCCCCTGCCCAGATAATTCCCTTCCGCTTCCCTCTGGGGTCCCAGCCTGGCCACTGCCCACCCTGTGCTCTGTACCACAGTCTGGTTCCTCTCTACCTTCCTCCATATTCCCAGCTTGGGCACCATCCACCCCTTCCCACCGTGGCTCCAGGCTGGTCCCTATTCACTCCTAGCCACCTCTCTTTGCCCATTGCCTTTCCAGGACAGCACCCCCCAGGCCTTGCTGCTAAGCAGGCCGTTGGACACCGTGCCGCTGTCCTGGCACCCTGGGCCCTGGCTTTCCTCCCCCCTGTCAGTGTCCCCCCCACTTCGGTGTCATCTGCTATACCAGGAGCCTGGCGTCGCCCTGCACCCATTCCCTGGTGAGAAAGTGGGAATTGGGGTGGGTTGGGGATTGAGGCCCATGTCCTCCTGTACCCATTCCCCAGTGACTGGGAGGGAGGATCAGTCCCCAGCCCTGGCCCCACCATCTGCATGTCCATTCCGTTCTGAGACTGCAGAGGAAGGGAGGGGCTGGAGAGAGCAGGAGCTGTGACCAAGCCTGCTAGATGCACCAGGAGCAGCTTCCACCAGGAAGAGACCCCAGTGCTGACCCCATCCCCTTCTCGCCTTGCCCACCTGCACCAGGCTTTGACTCGGACTCCTCCCTCTACCTGGCCAACCACGGAGCCCTCCCAGTCTGCCTAGGACAGGGCCAGCTACTGATGGCCGCCATGCCAGAGGAACCCTCCGGGCTTTCCAACCTGGCCCAGCCGTGAGTCCTGAGGCCCTGAGCTGTGGGTGGGAAAGAAGAGAGACTGTGTGTGTGCGTGCGTGCGTGCGTGTGTGTGTGTGTGCATGCACGTGCATGTGTGAGTGTGGACCATAGGATCTAGACCAGGAAGGAACCAGCCCCTGTAGGCAGCTGGTGGTGCCACCATGCACAGAGCACTGGACCTGAGGGCAGAAGATCCGAGTTCAAATCCTGTCAGATGCTTTCTAGCTGTATGACCCAGGGCAAGTCACTTAAGCTCTGCCTGTCTCGGTTTCCTCATCTGTAAAATGGGGATAATAATAGTACCTGCTTCCGAGGGTTGTTGTGAGGATCCAATGAGATAATCGTCGTGAAGCGTCCTGCCCAGTGCCTGGCACATAGTAGGGGCCGTATACATGTTAGTTCTTCTCATTGTGGTACCACTATCCCTTCCTCCTCCCCACATCTTCCTCCCTGGACCATGCCCCCTGGCCAGCGGGGCCTTAGATGGGGACAGCTTCCGTCTCCTGTGCCTGGGTCTTCTCTAGGGGTGGCCTTTAGGACCCTCTTTCAGGAGCTCCCCTGATCCCCTGCAGGTTTTCCCAGGGCCCAGTCTCTGCTGTCTTTCACTCCGTCACACCCCAGTACGGGGTATATTTGGCTGCATCTGTACTGTGTCTCTGCTGCACCCCCCCCCCAAGTTAAACTCCTCACAGGCAGGGGCTTCGTGAATGTTAGTGGAGGAGGAATTGCCATACGCAGAGGCAGAGGGACTTTAGTGAAAGGACACTTCACATCCCATGCAGTGATGGACAGCCAGAAAACCTGGCTTCTCCTTCTGACTCTGCCCCTGTTTCTCTGTGGGATCTTGGGCAGTTCCTCTCCCTTTGGGGTCTTAGCATCTTCCTCAGTAAAAGAAGCGGCTGGCAGTGTTGAGGCCTGCCCCCTTAGCAGGTGCAGGGATGGGCAACGTTCCCCAGCCATGGTGGCGGAGAGGGGAAAGTGCTAAATCATTGGTGGTCAGAGGACCTGGGTTCGAATCCTGACTACACCTTCCTCGCTGTGACCTTGCTCAGTCCCTGCATGCCTTTGGGTTTCAGTTTCCTCAGGTGTAAAGTGAAATTAGACTGGATGATAATGATTATAATAATATGCATCATGAGCCTTAAGGTTTACAAACTGCTCTCATAATTATTATCTCATTTATCCTCGTAACACTCGGGGTGGGAGGGGCAGGTACTATTATTATCCCCATTTTATAGATGAGGAAACGAGGCACAGGGAGCCATGACTAGCCCAGGGTCACACAGCTAGCAAGTATCTGAGGCTGAATTTGAATTCAGATCCTCCTGACTTCAGAGCTCAGCACTTCTGTCCACTGCACTACCCATCTGCCTAGATTGGAGACAGATTGTGGAGTCAGTCATTAAGCATTTATGAAGCACCTGCTGTGTTCCAGGCACTGGGAATAGAGTGAAAGGGAAGAGACAGTGCTGGCTTTCGAGGAGCTGGGGGACACATGGGGGATCTTAAATGATAAACTGGGGAGGTGTATTTCCTCCAAAGGGTTTTGGAACAGGGGAGCAACGTGTTAACAAGGAAGGTTATTTTAGTAGTTGGGTAAAGCATGAAGTGGAAAGAAGAGAGACCAGAGGCAGAGAGGCCAATTAGGAGGCCATGATGATAGTCTAGAAAAGAGGTAGCGAGAGTTTGAATCTGTGTGGTGGCTGTGTGAGCCGAGAGAATCAGACTAGTGTGGAAGACCTTGTGAAAGGACAGCTCACGGGCCTCGGCAGGGGGCTGGATGTAAAAGGGTAGGGGGCGAGGGCAGGGAGTCAGCCCTGACTCTGAGCTTTCCCTTCACCTTTGCTCCTTCCCTGTTCCAGATGCTCAGCATTGATTCTTGAGCCCTGTGGCCTCGCAGACCCCCTGCTGCTGCAGCCCCAGGTCCTAGGAGGGGAAGGGGGTGGTGGCCCCAGGTGTCTGGGTCCTGCAGGGAGGGGCAGGGCTGATGCCTGGGTCTTGGGGGAAGAGGAGGCTGGAATTCTGGAAACCTGGGGTTTCTCAAGGGCTTAGGGCAGGGGTACCCAAATATCTGAATCCTCGAGGGCCTGGGGCCGGGATGCAAATGTGGGCTAGACAGCCTTGCTGTCTGCCCCAAACGGGATCTTACATTAGACCAAGGAGGTGAGGACTGGGGCCTTGGGGGAGGGAAGAGCCAAGGGAAAGAACTGGAGGCCAGGGAGGGTGAGCAGGGACCTCGAAGGAGAGCAGAGGGGCTGAGGGAGGGAGAGGGGCACTGTGTGAGTTTCAGGCCAAATTCTGCCTCCCCCCCTTCTTCCTTAGGCCCCAGGGGCCTCCACCCTGGCCTGGGCGTCAGCCTCCGAAGAGCACCGGCTGCAGCGGGAAGCCGCTGAGGCCTTGGTGGGCCTGAGGGACTCCTCCCTTCCCCCTCGGAATCTGCCACCTCCTGAGGATCCCCCCACCCCTGCCCGGGGGACCCTGCTCTGCCCTTGCAGCCCCTCAGGTACGGTTGTGGTTTGGGATGGGGAGGGCTTCTGGGAGGGCAGAGACTCTGAGTGGGAAGTCGGGAGGAACCCAGGGAGGCCTGGCAAAGCAGAGAGGTCTGGGGATACAGGGTGTTCCAGATTGGGAAAGAGAAGTTGCTTTGGGGTGGGAGACCTTGAATACCAGTCTGAGCAGTGCGGAGCAGAAGAACCGTGCTCTGTTGTGGGGGAACAAGGCGCTGGTAGGATCTGAGCCAGGCTGGAGGAACAGGAAGCCACTGGCCAGGAGGTGAGGAAGAGCAGCAGAGGGGGAGAGCTGTGAGCCCAGAGCCAGGAGGGCTGGTCTTTAATCCCAGCTCTGGGTGACCTTGGGCCTCTGTCTATGCTTACACTTACACTGCCAGCCTCTGAGAGGCCCACGGAAGGAGAGGACCCACCCCCCTCCCACCCCCAGGCCCAGCTACCCCCAGGGAAGACAAGGAAGCTGAGGAAGAAGGGTCCTTGCTGCGGCCCAGCCAGGCCCCCTCGGTGGCCCTGCACATTGGCCGCATCGGATCCATCTCCCTGCTGGGCTGAGGCCTCTGCCCCCTCCGAGCAGGACGAGGAATCAGCCGGCTGGTGTGCCGTGGTATGGAGCGGGCTTTTCTCCTCACCCAGGATCCTTCCCCCCAATAAAGTGCTGTGAGACCTGACCTGAAGCCTTCTGTCTGAATGTGTAAGTGTGCCTTGTGCATGAAAGTGTGTGGTTGTAAACATGCCGCTGCAGTACAACGTGGGCACCTGCTTATACACCCCTGTGTATGTGTCGACACACTGCTAGGGGGCGCCACAGAGCAGCTGGCCTGGAGTCGGTGTGCCCTCAGACACTTCCGGTCTCTGTCATCCTAGGGCAGTCACTTTCCCTCTGTCTACCTCAGTGTCCTCAACTGTAAAATGGGGCTAAGGACAGCACCCACCTCGCAGGGACCTTGTTGTGAGGACCAGATGAGACCATGATTATAAAGCGCTCACCACAGTACCTGGCATATAGTGCACACTATGTTTATCATTTGTTATTATCGTATATTACCCACAAGCACAAAACCCACATGCACGTGTGCCTTCACGGCCTTCTCTCCCCAAATGGTGGATTCCAGGGTCCTGTTGTCTAGAAAATTCTCTTCTCTAACCGGAGGCAGGCGTTCAAGAATAATGCTTTTCTTCAGCCACGCAGATGCACATGTGGAGTTTCCACATGTAACAGGTCCAGCAAGGGTCTTGGCCAACCTTGGGGGTATCTTGGGGGTAGCTCCAGGCACTGAAAGCCGTATCCTCAGAGGCTCCCAACCAGTCAGTCCATCCTGGGGCAGTGCCCGTCTCTGAGACCTAAACAGGAGTGAGTGCCCTTTGTCCTCTTAACCAGGGCATCAGTAGGAATGGCTATTCCTACTGTTGGAGGAGGGGTGCTTTCAGAAGCGTGACTGAGGCTGGGGCCCTCAAAGGTCCCCACCTTGTCTGCAGGAGTTACCTAATTACAGGGATTATAGATTTCATCTGGGAGGCTTTGTATCAGGCCGGGGCTTGATGTAATTGGCACCTGTCATGTGCCATGTCTAGGACCCACCTAGTGCAGGCTTCTCAAGAGGGCATGAGGCTATAGCCAAAATCATCGGCTGTTTCCAAGTATAACGCCTACCTAAACACCACCTTTTTTTCAACAAAAGGAAATTCAGGTTGGTCAGTGACAATGGAATGAAAGGCAAAGCCAGGCCAACTGGTGGGGGCAGCAGCCTCGGGCCTCTGTGGAGCTCTCTGCTGACCCTCCCTGCCCTTCTCTCAGCCCCCAAGTGGCCAAGACCATCTGCTCTTTTGTCAGTGGCGTCTTCAGCTGCCTTGAGGCCTCAACCCCTCTTTTTCACCCTGAGGACTCCTTCCAATCCTCCCGCCTCTGAGTTCTTACCCAAGTCGTCCCCTTGGCACTGGTTGCTGTCTTCCTTCAAGTGTACTTCATCCCGTCCCTTGCCCCACACACCCCGGCCTTGGGTTACTCCCACTGCCTTTGGTCCTGCTCTTGTGCTGCTGGATGAGGGCAGAGAAAATCACACAACTCTCCTGCCTGGGCCAATTGCAAATGTGTGGTACCCAAGCCTGATCCCTTTACACCTCCCTAACTAATTGTCCCCCTCACAACAGCTTCTCCAAACCTTTTCATCCTTCCTCAAGCCCCTTCCCTATCACCCCACCACCACCCTCTCAGCTAGACCTTGCCTTATATTTCACTAAAAAAAACTGAGGCCATTCACCGAGAGCTCCCTTTCCTTCTCTGTCCCTCATCTCACATCACCCAGATGTCACTTCTGCCACTCTCCCCTCATTCTCTTCTTTAACATTAATTTTTTTATCAATTTATTTTTAGTTTTCACCATTCACTTCCACAAGATTTTGAATTCCAAATTTTCTCACCATCTCTCCCTTCCCCACACCCCAAGATGGTGTGCATTCTGAATACCCCTTCCCCCAATCTGTCCTCCCTTCTATCACCCCCCCTTTCTCTTATCCCCGTCCCCTTCTATTTTCCTATAGGACAGGATATTTCTATACCCCTTTGCCTTTATATCTTATTTCACAGTTGCACGTAAAAACAATTTTTAACACTCGTTTTTAAAACTTTGAGTTCCAAATTCTCTTTCCTCCTCCCCACCCACCCTCATTGAGAAGACAAGCAATTCAATATAGGTTATACATGCAAAGTCATGCAAAACACTTCCATAATAGTCATGTTGTGAAAGACTAACTATATTTCCCTTCATCCTATCCCCCCTTTGACCCTGTCCCCCCTCAAAAGTGTTTGCTTCTGATTCTCCCCTCCCCGAATCTGCCCTCCCTTCCATCATCCCCCCATCTCTTATTCCCTTCCCCCCTTTTTTGCCCCTCCCTTACCCTATAGGGTAAGATAGATTTCCATACACAAATGAGAGTAAGATTCACTCATTTCCTCTCACCTCCCCCCTCTTCCCCTCCACTGTAAAAGCTTTTTCTTGTCTCTTTCATGAGATAAGTTACCCCATTCTACCTCTCCCTTTCTCGTTCTCCCAGTACATTCCTCTCTCACCCCTTAATTTTTTTTTTAGATATCATGCCTTCATATTCAGCTCACCCTGTGCCCTCTGTCTATATATATTCCCTCCAACTACTCTAACACTGACAAAGATCTCATGACTTACAAATATCATCTTTCCATGTAGGAATGTAAACAGTTCAGCTTTAATAAGTCCCTTCTCTCATTCCCTTCTTAGCTCCACAGTCTGGCTTCAAACCTTGTTATTCACCTGAAATTGCATTCTCCAAATCTTTTAATCACCTAATCAAATGGAGTTTTTCCAACCCCCATTCTTCTTGACTTTTTCAATGCCTTTGACTGCCAATCGCCCTTTTCTCCTTGGTACTCTCTCTAGATTTTGGTGACTCTGTTGTCTCCTGGTTCTCCTCCCACATATCTGACTGATTCTTCTCTGTCTCCATTACGGGCTCTTCATCCACAACTTCCTTATAACAGTGAGTGTTCCCTAAGGCTCTGTTCTGGGCCTTCTCTTCTCCCTGTTTCTCTTGGTAATCTCATCAGTTCCCATGACTTCAAATATTACTTCTATGCAGATGACTTTCAGATCTATTTGTCTAGTCCTGACCTCTCCCTGACCTCCAATCTCATATCTTCAATTGTCAATTAGACCAATCAGAACCAGATGTTCTGTGGGCATCTTAAACTCAACATGTCCAAAGCAAAGCTCATTTTCTGTCCTCCCAGACCTTGTACAGTTATTTTTTCAGTCATGTCCAACTCTTTGTGACTCCATTTGGGGTTTTCTTGGCAGAGATACTGGAGTGGTTTGCAACTTCCTTCTCTAGCTCATTTTACAGATGAGGAAACTGAGGCAAACAGGGTGAAGTGACTTGCCCAGGGTCACACAGCTAGGAAGTATCTGAGGCCAGATTTGAAGCCAGGAAGATGTCTTCCCCTCTTTCTAACGTCCTGTTATTCATCCTTCATTTTTGAAGAGGACCGCTGACAACACGGGGTGATGTCTTAACTTGAATTGGATTGAAGAGCGGCAGAGCTGCACAGACTCTCTGCCAGGGTCATCAAGTCCAGTGGCAGGACAAAAGCTAAGGCAGCTGGCAACGGCCTGGCATGGCATTGGCATCTTCCATGTCTCACCAAGCTCTAAGCACTTCACAGTGCCTGCTTCAGCTGCCTTCATGGCTGTCGGAACAGACTGTTCTCATTCACCCTGTAGGGGAACTCCTCACATGCTTGGGATGGACATCCTCTAAGTCCCCAGTGGGTAACACCCCTTGATTATCATCCGTCTGGTTTGGCCCACCTGCCAGGACAGTTTTGCCAGGGTATGGCCGCTGCATATGCCACAGCTTCTTGAGTGATGACAGGCGGACACCAAAGGCAGAAGATCAGCCCTGCCATGGGCATGGCAGCCCCACCCCAGAGGTGCCGGCCCTCCTGAACACCCCCTACCTATTACGTCAAAGTAATCACAGGCAGCCTAAGCATCATCCTTGACTCCTCATTCTCTCACGCCATAGTGGCCAAGTCAGGTAGTTTTTAATTTTACAACTCTTTTTTACAATATTTTTAAATTTCATTATCTATTTCCCAATTACATGTAAAGAGTTTTTTTTAATTCATTTTTTTAAATTTTTGAGTTCCAAATTCTCTGCCTCCCCCTTCCTTGAGAAGGCAAGCAAGTTGATATTGACTATGCATCACATTAGCTTCTCCCCTGACATGGCAGCCACCTTCATGCCCTCAAGCCCAGATTACTGAGACTGGTGTTGTCGGTGGTGGTCCTTGGTTCTGGAAGGGGACCGATGACACTGAGAGCCTTTGGGTTGGTCTCCTCTCGTTCCCCTCCACTCCGATTCATCCTCCATTAGGCCTGACTAAATTCCCCATGCAGTCACCACCAAGATCAAATAGAAAGCCCTCTGCTCAGCGTTCCGAGCCCGTCATAACCTGGCCCCTTCCTCCCTTTCCAGCCTGCTCACACCTTTCTCCCCTTCATAGATCTGGGGATTCAGTGACACCCCGTTCCGTTCCATTCCTCCACGGGACACTCCAGCATTTTCTAGTGCCTAGAACTGTCTTACTCTTCCTGCCCCTCCTCCCCATCTCCTGGCTCCTCTGGCTTCCTTTAAGTATCAACTACCAAATCAGGGCATGGTTTGTCTCAGTTCTTACCCAGCCCTCAGTCACTGAATGGGCTTTGCCTCAGACAAACAGGGACCTGGGAAGGACCCCAGTTAAGACAGGCCGTCGCTGGCCATCACCTGTGGTCTGGACTTTTGTCCTGCCTCTGGACTTCGATGACTCTGGAGGAGACAGTGAGCTGCTGACTTGGTGCTGCTCTGCCTCACTCATATACAATTCACACGTGAGTCAAGACACCACTGGTGAGGTTACTGGTCTTCTTCAAAAACAAAGGCCAAAAACAGCCCCTCTTGTGCAAGAAGCCTTTCCCAGGCTCCGGAATCTTAGTGCCTTCTCTCCTCCACTACCCCCAATCATGTTTGTCCACAGTTGTTTGTGTCCTGTGTTCCCCATTAGACGGGGAGCTCCTTGAGAGCAGGGTCTGTCTCGCCTTTCTTTGCATCCCTAGTGCCTAGCACAGTGCCTGGCATGCAGTAGGGGCTTAATAAATACTAGCAGACCGATTCCCAGGAGACATCTGAGGAGAAACCCCGAATCAGCCTGGGGGCACGCTCTCTGGCTTTTGTCAGCTGGGTGTGGTGAATAGTGCCGAAGAGCCGGAGCCATCTGGTCTGCCCTTAAGCAGGACACACTTCCTGCCCCTCTGTCCTAGCAGAGCAGTTCTCAAAGCTTCTCAGTCTGGGGTCTCCTTTTGACAGTGAGGTAGCCAAGGGGAAGAGCACCAGGCCCTCAGTGTTCCAGTCCCTCCCAGCTCTGTGACCCTGGGCAAATCACTTAACTTCTATTTGCTTCAGTTTCCTTATCTGTAAAATGGGCATAATAATAGCACCTCCCTCCCAAGGTGATTGTGAAGACCACATTAGATAATAATTGCAAAGCACTCAGCCCAATACCTGGTGCACAGTAAATGCTATATAGATGTTAGCTAGTATTCTTATTGTTGAAAATTATGGAGGACCCCCAAAGGGCTTTTGTTTATGAGGGTTCTATCTATTGAGATTTATTGTATTCAAAATTTAAATATCTCAGCATTATTGTGAAAATAGTTTTGACCCTGCAGATGCCCTGAGATCCCTAGGGGTTCTCCAATCACACTCGGAGGACCACCACCCCAAGCCAACTGAAGCTGGCCAGAGTGGCCCTTGAGATCAACAGCGCTTGGGTGACACCAGCGTGTCCTGGTGCCGCCCAACAACGTGCCCGGCTCTCATCTCGAGGAGACGGTGACCTGCCCCACAGAGTATCCGCCCAGCCAGAGGAAGGCCCTGTGAGAGCGGCTGATGGCATCCCCTGGCATCTAAAGCGGAGGGTGACACAGCGTGCAATGTCGGTGGGCACTCACAGGCCAGCATTTTAGGTGAATGAGGACCCAAGGTAGCCATTCTGGGCCCTCAGGTGTGAGACAGTACTCCCCTGGGTGCTACACGCAGGGAAGTGTCTTCCGTGTGCCAGGCTCTGTGAACTTTTTACAAATATTATCTCACTTGACCTTCACAACAACCCTAGAAGGCGGGTACTATTATTATCCCCATTATACAGTCCAGAAAACTGGAGCAAACAAAGTTAAGTGACTTGCCTAGGATCATATAGAGAGGTCGCATTTGAACTCAGCTCCACCTTAGCTGCTTAAATCTATTAACTTAAAAAGGAAGAGGGCTTTTCTACATAAAGTTTGGAAAGTACTGATCAGTAGAGAATCCTTCGATTTGGACTCATGAAACACTGGAAGTCAGAAGTTTTTAACCTCGTTCATACCCTGCAGCCCTTGGGCAGTCAGTCTGGGGAAGCCTTGGGACCCCTTCTCAGAAAAGTGTGTTTAAATGTATAAAATACCCAGGATTCCCAAGGAAATCAATTCTATTGAAATATGGCTAGCAAACACACCCCACCCCTTTATTTTATGAAGTTCATGGGCCCCAGGCTAAGTATGCCTACTCTAAAGCGAGCCTACATAACCCAAAATTAAGGCAGCCAAGAGGGCAAACATTTCTCGAAAAAAGGTGCAGGTCTGAGTGTGCTGCACCCTTGTTGATCAATTCCCTTTCGGCAGGACGGTGGAATATAGAACGCTGGCTGGCTTCTTTTAAAGCCCTTTGTACCCCAGCCCCCCTCCCTTTCCAGCCTTCTTACCCCTTACATCGCTGCCTCCAAGTACTCGGGGATCCAGGGCACTGGCCTCCAGCGGGACGGTTGGTCTCTTCCTCGGTGGCTCCTATGTCGGGAGTTCACCGCCTCCTCATTCTGCCTCTGGATACCTGGTGCTCTTTGGGTCTCAGCTAAAGACCCGCCGTGTCCGGGAAGCCTTCATTCTAGAGCTGTCCCTCTCAGGACCATGCCCAATTTACCCTGTCTATATCTTGTCTGTACATTTTCTCACTGTTGGTCAGTTGTCTTTCAGTCACGTCCAACTCTGTGACCCCATTTTGGGTTTTTCTTGGCAAAGATACTGGAGAGGTTTGCTATTTCCTTCTCCAGATGAGAAAACTGAAGTAAACAAGGGTGAAGTGATTTGCTCCGTGTCACCCAGCTTGCTAAGTGTCAGAGGCCAGATTTGAGCTCAGGAAGACGAGTCTCGCTGACTCCAGGCCCGCTGTGCACTATGGCGCCCCGTAGCGGCCCCCATCTTTGCACATAGTTGCACTACAGGGTCTGTCTGTACGCCCAGGGCTTACTTAGCACCCCGTCCCAACACATAGAAAGTACCAGTGAGTTAAACTCTGTAGAGGCAAGATTCAAACCCACCTTTCCTGACTCCAAGTCAGCCAAGTATGTTAGGAGGCAGCTTAGTTTATAAAGGAGCCCAGACCCTCAAAACTATTTGATAAATTCAACTGACTATAAAATAATCACAAAACATTAATTTTTGCATAATAATTTGCATAAAATGTAAATGTGTTATTTGGGGAAGTTCAGGAAGAGAACCTTACGAGTAGGGGACGGAGAGGTAACAAAGCATGAGCCAAGCCGAGTCTCCTGAGGAGGATGAATCATGTGGGAGAGGAGGAAAGAGGAGGAGAAGTAACCCCCCACCCTGGAAGTCTGCAGTGACAAGATTTACTAGTCTTTTGCACCCTTCTCTTCTATGGAGAGGCCTAGGACCCTAGCAGCTAGCGTACCTGACCGAGAGAAAGGACATCAACAGGTGAAGGGCCGCCATCTTAGCAAAGTCACTTTGGTCTGTCTTTGCTGTCTCCACGGCCTGGAGGACAGATGAATGCCCATGTGTTAAGGGCTGAGATCAGAGAGTGAGTCTAGCAAAGGCAGCCCAGTCAGCCCATTTCCCCACAAGCGCCTATAGTCACAGGATTGGTGTGAGGCTCAAATGAAATCTCATTAACCAATCAATAAATATGGACTGAGCCCTGGGACAGGAGACAAAAGAAGACTGTCCCTGCCCACAAGAGGCATACAGTCTACAGGGGAGGTTTAGGGGTGCTGGGACCCCAAAATCACAACACGCAGGTCCTGCCGAAAAGAATTCGACTCAAGCCTTCTTTCAGCCAGTTGGTTTGTGAAAGATCCGCCATATCAGCCAGACCCTTCAGGAATCTGAGCACCCGTGAGCTCTGGCTAGATTATGAGAATCTGAGCACCTTCATGGAGGCAAGATGGCCCTTACATATGGAAAGAGCGTGGGAGGGATCTAGGAGTGGCCAAGGAGTCAGAGGGGACTGTGAAGCAATGGATTGCCCAGGACTGGACCACCAGGCCAAGGGAGACTGGAGCCTAACTAGGATTAAGGGTGGCAAGTGGCCAGGGGCCATAGGGAGGTAAGACAATGGAGGGCTAGGCTAGGTTAAGGGTGAGAGAATTGGGAGGTGAGTCGTAGACAATAACAAAGGGGCCAGTGGTGGGGATTATAGCCTCAGGGGAAATCCAGACACTTGGCCACAGGAAAGTCCAGGGTTTTTCTTTCTGGGTCCAGATCCCAACCCCATGAGGGGGAGGACAGGACACGCGCCCAAATGAGTAATAACAACACTGACGTGGTTCAGTCGCATCCGACCCTCTGTGACCCCAGTTGGGGTTTTCTTGGCAGAGATACCAGAGTGGTTTGCCGGTTCCTTCTCCAGCTCATTTGACAGATGAGGACACTGAGGCAGACAGCATGAAGTGACTTTAAGGTCACACAGCTCATGTGATTTGAGCTCAGGAATATGAGTCCTCCTGACTCCAGGCTGGGGCGTGGTGGATACCTTTAGCCCTGAAACACTAATAGCTAGCATTTACATAGGCATACAAGGGAAGGGGAGGGAATAAGCCTTTATACAGCGCTTTCTGTGTGCCAGGGGCGCTGCCAAGTGCTTTACCAACTGATCCTCAGAATAAGGTCATCTGAGGTGGGGGGGCGAGCAGCATAAGGCTTCAAGAAGCTGAGGGAGGGAGGAAGAAAAGGATCCGGCTAGGAGCCGGTGGGCAAGAAGGGGCCAGCGTGGGCAAAGGCACGGAGGCAGGGGATGCCGAGCCACGTGCGGGGTTCTGGGCCCAGGGGACTTACGTGACGCGCGGAGTCGCACACGCCTGGTACTGTCCGAAGCACTTCCGCCCTCACTAGCGAAGCCGGGCGGGAAGGGGCGGGGCCGAAGAAGCCACTTCCGCCCGGCTCTGGGGAATAAAGCGCGGTCCGTTATCGCGAGACCTGGGGGTGAGCGGGACTAGCGGCTCTCGCGACGTTTTGCTCCCTTCTTGTGCGGCCGGGAAGCCCTGTTTCTCCCTTTCCCCTGGCTGGCCGCGCGGAGCCCGCACGGTGAGTAGTGCCTGTGGCCGGAGCCGGGGCCGGAGGGCTCCTGGGGGAATCGGGGTGGCGGCGGGGAGTGGCCGGGCGGGGAGTGGGACGCGTGGGGCCTTCCCCACGTGGGACGCCGGCGGGTGGGGGCCGCGGGGGCGGACGGCCCGGGCCCGGGGCTGAGGCGGGCGGGGGTCCCCGGCTGCGCCCCCGCCGCCCACCTACTGCTGCGTCCGCCCCCCGCAGATGCCCGGAGTCACGGTGAAGGACGTGAACCAGCAGGAGTTCGTCCGGGCCCTGGCCGCCTTCCTGAAAAAGTGAGTGCCTCAGTTCCCCCCTCGTCCGCTTCCGGGCGGGCTCAGTCCCTCCACCGCCGGGCCTCAGTTTCCCCCGTCGTAAAGCGAGCGGACGAACCTCGCGGCCGCTAAAGTTGGGCGGGATCGCCTTAGATAGCCAGCCTGGGGAGGGGGCGCGGCGGGGCCCGGGGTACCCTGCAGTTATTAGGTGCCTGCTGTGTTCCCGCACTGGGTGGGGGAGGGGGGTCTCTGCCGCTTCCTGGGGCGACCCACGGCCTGACACCCCCCTCCCCCCAGGTCAGGGAAGCTGAAAGTCCCCGAATGGGTGGACACAGTCAAGTTGGCCAAACATAAGGAGCTGGCGCCCTACGACGAGAACTGGTTCTACACCCGGGCCGGTGAGTGGGACCTGGGTTCAGATCTTGCCTGCCTCCTGGGCTTCTGGGCTGGGTCAGCAGGCCGGGTGGGGGGGCTGGTCCTGGGCTCCCGGCCCAGAGGAGGCCTGGCCCTGTCCCGGGGCCGGGTGGGGGGGGGAGCAGGGGCTGGGCACTGGAAGCCAGGCTGCGGAGGTAGGGGCCCTGGGACCCCCACCACCAACCCCAGGCCGCCTGTCCCCAGCCTCCACAGCCCGCCACCTGTACCTCCGGGGCGGTGCCGGCGTGGGCTCCATGACCAAGATCTATGGCGGGCGCCAGCGCAATGGGGTCATGCCCAGCCACTTCAGCAGAGGCTCCAAGAGCGTGGCCCGGAGGGTCCTGCAAGCCCTGGAAGGCCTCAAGATGGTGGAGAAGGACCAGGACGGGTAAGAGGGTGGATGGGAACGTCGCCTGACTAGCCTGCCTCAGTTTCCTCATCAGCAAACTCAGACGGAGCAGGTGGGCTAGGCCTTTAATTTTCCAGCGCTGAATCAAGGAGGTAGTTGGGTGCAGGGCGGGTCTGTCTGTCCCCAGTCTCCCGAGGTTGTGGATTTAGTTAAGTGCTCGATCTTGGTGGCCTGTTCTTCCTTGTCTCTCTGGCTGAGTCTTCTCCACCCCCATCCCCACAAACACAAACAGCCGTTGGCAGTAAGGGGTGACTGCCTTGAGCCGGCTTCTCCTCGGCTGAGCCCAGATCCCGACCTGTTCCTTCGCTTTAAAGAGGAGCCTTGAGCGACCTGCTCAGTCTCTTAGCTGAAGTCTGATGTGGCATTAGAACCCAGGTCTTCCTGATTGTGATCCACTGCCAGGCTGCCTCTGAGCCAGAAGCCGGTGGTGCCTGTACAGTTACTTTGGAAAGCAGGGGAGACATCCCTCCACAAGGCTGGGCTCAGTAACCCCTGGCCCCAAACTAGCCGAACATTTATCCCCAGATCCTGCCCCCCCCCAGGGGGGTTGTCAAGGTTCTGAGCAAAGCAAACAGCGATGGCTCACCCGACCTCTCTGCTGGCAGTGCTGGGGGCTCTGGGAAGGTAATTTAGTGACTGTCAGCTCTCATTAGGCTGCTCGTTAACTTTTCCCAATTGATTTTTTTTCCCTCCGAGAGCTCTTTGACACCCCGTCAGCGGGTGCTGGGCCTGAATGGCTTGAACAGGATCAGGGTTGTAGGTCCTCACTGGGGCTGACTGGAAACCCTTGGGGGGAGGAGTGGGGCTGCAGCCCAGCCTCCCATGCCTTCTGAGTGAGGCCCTAACCTGCTCCCTGTCTACCCCCCAGGGGCCGGAAGCTGACACCTCAGGGACAGAGAGACCTGGACAGAATTGCCGGACAGGTGAGGTCCGAGAAAGGGGGCTGGTGCACTGAGGGCATCCCCCTGTCCGTGTTTGGAGTCATGGAGTTGCAAAGGGAATCCTAGTTACCCTGCCTGATCTCTAAGCCAAGGGTCAACAGCTCTCCTTCATTCTCACCGTCATTATGCTGGTCTGGTTGGGTTAGAGCCTTTGGTACCTGGCCTCTTATTTTCCTTGTGTGCTCAGAGTGGGTTTAAAAGGTGCCACCATGGCTCAGAAGGGCCTGTGTGGTGGTTGCGGGGTCCTAAGGCTGGCGCCTCTTCCCTCAGGGCTCCCAGGGGAGTGGTGGGAGGGCAGTAGGCCAGGGTGCCCTGTGCCTAGGTTAGGCAGGCTGGTCTGATGGTGCCCAGAGCTCTTGGGCAGGGGGGGGCTTCAGGAGGCTTGGGTTACAGGGCTCCCCTTTCTGCTCTGCTCGGCCTGGAGCTTGGTAGTCCAAGGTCCTTGTGTTGGGTGGTGGGGCGGGGCAGCACAGGCCGGGCTTGCCTGAGCCCCCACCCTTATGGTGCTCTTCTCTCTTCCAGGTGGCAGCTGCCAACAAGAAACATTAGGACAAACCACACCAGATTCGTTAATAAATTGCCTTGTTCGTAACCTGTCTGGGTCCTGTCTTCATCAGCCAGGGATTCTCACCTAGAGGGTCTGAGGGTGGAGCATATGGACACTGGGTGACCGGGGCTGGAAGTCGAGCTTCGTCCCAGGTCAGGGGGCTCGTCTCGCCCATCTGCCCGTGTCCCCATCTGACCTTCAGCTGCCACGTTGGCTGAGAGCCAAGAACATGCTGTCAGGGGCATCGGGCTGGAACCCCGCCAAGGCCCTGGGGGTCCCTGCTGCCACTGGTCAGCCAGGTGGCTCTTCTTGGATACCACCCCCAGCATCTTAGCCGGAAGGGACTTGGCCCTGAGGTTATGTCAACAGAGCAGAGTGTCAGCCCCCTCACGTTGACAGGAGGCCGTGGGCCCAGGAGCAGAGCCCAGCGGTGCCCTCTGCCCCTGTAAAGGGCGGGGTGGGGTGTGGGCACAGGAAACTGCCTCTTCTCAGGAATGGCAGCCTTGGACATCTCTCCCTCTCCCAGGCCCTTCTGTGGGCCTGGGTTTCCTGGCCTTCAACCAGGAGTCCCTAGTGCTGCCTCTGGCTACAGGCGTGACTGAGGGAGGGGGTGAGGGACGCTGTGGGCGGTGTTGGCTCTGCAGTCACCCTGTGTTTAAATTCCACCTTGGATGGACACTGTGTACCTAGGTAGGATCACCCCTTAGCTGGAGAGTGACCAGGTTGGGCTTTCCCAGGAGGCAGGCGGGCATCAGGTGGGCCTGGGTGCTGGCCAGGGTAGACGTAACCCAGGCCCTGGGGTGCCCACTTAGAGCTACCTGGAGCATGGGTCCATGCTGGTTGGTGACCCTGGGCAGCTCTAGCTCTGCCTGGATGAGCAGCCCAAGCACTTGGCAAGCCCAGACCCCTAACCTACTGCTCTACCCCAGGCTCAGGGGGATGACCTCAGCCAAGGACCACTGCAGTGATGAGTGTTTAGGATAGGTCTTGTTCCTCTATTGTTAGAGAAGTTTCCCCACAAAGGCCTAGAGAGGAAGTCACTGACCTCAGACAAGGGACCTGCCCAGGGTCTTAAAAACTCAAAGAGGCTCCCCTCCTGAAAACTGAGTTACTTTGGGTCCTGGGTTTGAGAGCATGACCCCAGGCGCATTTTGGCCATCGTCCTTGCCAGACTACTGAGGCTGCCTTGGGATCTGACGGACCCTGCTTCAGGCTGGCCAGCTTGCAGTTTTCCCATCTGTGCGCTGAGAAATGATGCCCCTCTCCCAGGGCTGCGGGGACTGCGGCGTGTAAGCAGTAGTTGCTGCAGACCCTGCTACTGGGTAAAGTCGGTTTGAGTGAAGCTTGAATAGCACCCCCAGCTTTCTGCTTCATGAGGGGGAGGCGGGTAGCTCTTGAGAGCCCCTTTCTCCTTTCACCCTCAGGCTGGATCCAAGCACGAGAGACCCTTCGTGGGGAATGAGGGGCTAGCAAGTGCTGTCTGCCCTCCACCCGCCATAGCTCGTCCCTGGGCACACGTGCTCCCCACCTGGTAACTCTTCTAGACTAAGTGGGTCTCTGCGCCTGCGCAGAGTGCCCGCCTTTAACCTCCGCGAAGGCCACACGGTGGCGCCAGAGGCCTGCATTCCCTAGTCCAGCTGGCCGTGACTCAATTGGCTCTTGCAGCACAGAGGGGCAGGGCCAAAGGGACGCCTCTGACACTGATTGGCTGGTATGGGGAGGCGGGGTTCGGCGCGGGAAATTGGTATTTGTCGCAGGGCTGCTCCCTTGCCCGCCCCTCCCCCTGGCGTACGCCGGAGCGCGTGGGGAGGGAATCCACGTGGAGCTCCGGGAGCTTCCTGGTCCGGGTGGGCAGAGCTGGGGGTGGAAGGAGCAAGGAGGCTGGTGTGGGCTGGGAACCCCAAGCAGGGGCTGGTGGGGTGCCAGAGAGCCCCTGGGGTCCCTTCCAACCCCGAGATAAGACCCCTGTGAGCTTAACGGCATTCGGACCCTGAGCCTCGTTAGACGAGGAGTCGGGCCAGGTCACTGCCCGCTCTGGATCCAGCAGCCTGAGAGTCTGGGGTCCAGGATTGGGGGGGGCCGTGGAGAGGATCTGACACGAGTGACAGAATGTCAGCCTGGGCCAAGGACCTCAGCGGGCAGCTGAGACACCCAAGAATTCCCTCGAGACGGTCCACCAGAAGGAGATCCCCCACAGCCAAGCGCAGTCTCCAGGGGACCCCCTTATTCTTT